CTTACTGACTGAGTGAACACAGATAGAACTTCTGCCTTCCTTTACAAATACACATAGGCACACTTACTCTACAGCGTAATGATGAATGGTCAGTTAGATTATCTAAATCTGGTCTTTAAATAAAATTAAACTTTGCATAATACTATATTTGGGAGACACAATTTTTATTTAGATACTCTACACATTCTGGTTGGTCTTCACACATTCTGGTTACTATTTACTGTTTCAAAATTGGATTTCAAATATTTACACACCCTCAGTGTTACCATTTGCAGCATTTCCTAAACCACTCTGCATCTTACTTCCAAATAAACAAAGTTAGAACTATGCAATCAGTCATTACATCGTCAGTTTAGCATATATTGCAATCCACAAATAGATCACAAATTTGCTCATCCAAACTGAGAAAACTGCTTTTATTTATCCAACTTGTTTTCTCATTTAAATGTCCCCCTCTTTCACCAATATGATACTAATTTATAGAGCAGCCACACTAAGGAGATCTGCCTGAATGGGACGCAATTACTTTGGGGCTTGTGCCTTTTCAATCAGTCAGTGTCCCTGCAGTGTTTAGAGTGGCAGAGGGGAAGTGGCCTGTGGTTAAACAGAGGAAATACCAAGGAATTTTAATAGAGCAAATAGTCTTTTTACTTCCTACCGGTAGCACTTCAAAGGCCGCCTTGCCCCAGAGCAGACAATGTGCTACAGGGGCCATCAGTCATTTAATACTATGTCAAGACTATTCAAAACTTACATGCAGTTAAAGATAGATACTAAACAACGAGACACTTGGTCATCGGCTGCAGCCACTGCTTGGGTATATCCTCCTCTGTGTTAAAACTCTTCATAGTTGATGCAGAGAGAAGGGTGTTAAAATCTGCATACTTTTTAAAGTAGTCGAGACAAATAAAGTTCAAGAGTGGGGACATTACTGAAATACCTATTAATGTCTCAAAGCAAGTCCCAGCCTTTTGTATCCAGACTCACTCTGAGTTTTCAGAAATTTTACATAACTCTATTTTTCAGGATGAAATGGAAACCTCACTTGTTTGATGTACTGTCGAAGGATTTCATGGCCGGAATCACTGGGTTGTTGTGAGTTTTCCGGGCTGTATGGCCATGTTCCAGAAGCATTCTCTCCTGACATTTCGCCTGCATCTATGGCAGAGGTTGTGAGGACCGTTGGAAACTAGGAAAATTGAGTTTTCATAGTTTCCAAAGGTATAGAAACCCCATTTTCCTATTTTCCAACAGACCTCACAACCTCTGAGGATGCCTGTCATAGATGCAGGAGGAACGTCAGGCGATAATGCTTCTGGAACATGGCCAGATAGCCCAGAAAACTCACAACAACTCACTTGTTTGCTTTTACACTGATTGAGCTTTAACTTTGTCAAAAGGTCTAGCTACCAGTTTACTAAACACACAATAAAAAGGAAAAACCAGTTAAGCATTACAACTTTTGATAGCTAGTATTGTTAAAGACTCTCCAAATGACCTGATGTTTCAGGTATGAGCCAACTTGGGCCCTCTGGGTGTTTTGGACTTCAACTCCCATCATTCCTCACAGCTTCAGGCCCCTTCCTTTAGCGGCTGAAGGGGAAAAGGAAGGGGTCTGAAACTGTGAGGAATGGTGGGAGTTGAAGTCCAAAACACCAAGAGAGCCCAAGTTTGCCCATGCCTGTGATATATACTTAGTTTTAAAGTATGCAAACCAGGCATCACTTTTGTGATGCCAAAGAGCAACAGCTCAGCCCAATATTTAGTGAAGTCCCAGTTAACAAAATTCAAGATGCAAATATCCCCAGGGGGAAAGAGTTAAAACTCCTTTTAACCAATGTTTAGCTCCTTTTGTACTTTTCTAAAATATTTCTGTGGCCTTTTGCTGCGACCGTGCCTCTATTCCCCTCCAAGCCCTTCCAGTTGGGTTTTTGTTGTTTTCTGGCTGCTGTAACGCCCAAAAAAACTTCAACGCTTGTGATCTGAACCCAAGGAAATCTCCGTGACAGCCTAACAAAAAGCGAGAGGCAATGAAAGTCACTCATGCCCTTCCGCAAGCGTTCATCTGGAATCTTTAATAAGGCTGGGAATGGAAAGGGAGGGGAGGAATCCTCCTTTTAAAAAGCAAAGAAACATTGCAGACATACATACATCCCCCCCTCTGTTCCTCCCCCTCCATCACCACACCAGATCACACTTAGGAAAGGAAGGAGGGAAACTTTACAAGGGGCAAAGGACAAAAGGCGAGGCCCTAAAACAATTCCCCCTTTTTCTTTTATCACCTTACAAGGGTCCCCTTTCCCTCCCTCTGGCCTAATGGCCAGGCCCACAGCCAAGCCATCCTCCAGCCATTAAAATAACAAAGCCCAGCCTTCGCCTTTTATCCCCTCTTCCAGGGCAGGTCTGGTTAAAGAAGGGGAAAGAGGATAAAAGACCCATGGAGTGACTTCACACTTGTTGGCTTCTCCCCTTGGCTGCCCTCTGGGACCCCCTCCTCTTCCCACTTCCTCCGGGAAGAAAACCCAAGCAGTTTGTTTCCAAGGGGCATCTACACACTGCAGGATGAGTGCAGTTTGACACCACTTGAACCACCGGGCTCAAGGCTGATGGGATCACAGGAGATGCAGTTTGACAAGGTCTTTGGCTTTCTCTGGCAAGCTGGTTCCTCACAAAACTACAACTTTCAGGATTCCACAGCACTGAACCATGGCAGTGTCACACTGTGTTAATTTGCACCTAGAGATGCCCCTCCAACTCTCTCCCCATGAATAGGGAAAGCCAGCCAGGGGAAGGAAAGCCAGTGAGTGGCATCTACACTGTAGAATTAATGCAGTTTATTGTCAAAGGCTTTCATGGCTGGAATAACTGGCTTGTTGTGAGTTTTCCAAGCTGTATGGCCTTGCTCCAAAAGCATTTTTTCCTGACATTTCGCCTGCATCTATGGCAGGCATTCTCAGAGGTTGTGAGGCCTCTGAATGTAATATCACACCACTTTAAATGCCATAGTTCCATGTTATGGAATCCTGGAAGTTGTAGTGTAGTGCAAGACTTCTTAAACCTTTTCCACTTGTGACCCATTTTTTTACAGGACCCCCAGGTATAAAAAAATCAAATATTTACTTTTTTTTTCATGTCAGGAGCGACTTGAGTAACTGTAAGTCACTTCTAGTGTGAGAGAATTGGCTGTCTGCAAGGACGTTGCCCAGGAGACACTTGGATATTTTACCATCCTGTGGGGGACTTCTCTCCTGTCCTCACATGAGGAGCTGGAGCTGACAGATGGGAGCTCACCCCACTTGCCGGATTAGAACTGCCGACCTTTTGTTGAAGCAGTCCTGCCGGAACAAGGGTTTAACCCAGTGGTTCTCAACCTGTGGGTCCCCAGATGTTTTGGCTTTCAACTCCCAGAAATCCTAACAGCTGGAAAACTAGCTAGGATTTCTGGGAGCTGTAGGCCAAAACACCTGGGGACCCACAGGTTGAGAACCACTAGTTTAACCCATTTCGCCACCACAATGGGTTAAAATATAGTGATAATAAATAATGATAATAAATCTACATTTTTAAGGCTTGCTAAACAGTGTTGATTTTCCTCCTTATAAAGTACAGCTGAAGCATTTTCCGCAGCATCCGCTACACACACTGCAATTGTGGCAAACAGATTTGTGTAAATCATACAATCATATGAGAGTTGGAAGAGATACCTCGTGGGCCATCCAGTCCAACCCCCTGCCAAGAAAGAAAATCACATTCAAAGCACTCCCGACAGATGGCCATCTAACCTCTGTTTAAAAGCTTCCAAAGAATGGGTGGTGTACAGAAAATGCTGTTGCCAAAGCTTTCGTGACCTCAACACTGAGCTAAAGGAACCCCATTAAGGGTTGGGACCCACAGCTGTGGTTTAGTGACAGAAACTGCTGTTTCTGTCACTATGAAAATGAACAAAATCTGGCTACCAGTATTTAAAAACTCTAAAATTATAACAGCAAAACAACAGAGAGGAAACAACCAGGCACAGATTAACACCTCCCAGCAAGAGATTTTCCCAGGCTCAGGCAGGCCTTCAAATGCTAATGAAGGTGATCAGCTAAACATTCACACCTAACTGCAGCAGGGAAGAGCTCCTTGCCCCACCCCAGCCATTCCACAGATATATAAACCCATTGTCCTAATTCCAACAGACCTCACTACCTCTGAGGATGCTTGCCATAGATGCAGGCGAAACGTCAGGAGAAATGCCTCTAGAACATGGCTCTATAGCCCGAAAAAACCCACAAGAACCTAGTGATTCCAGCCATGAAAGCCTTTGACAATACACTGAAACTGCTGTTGTCAAAGTTTTCGTGACCCCAATACTGAGCTATGGGGGACCCCATTCAGGGTCAGGACCCATAGCTTAAGAAGCTGTGGTTTAGTGAGCATCCTTTGCCAAACTACGACTCCCATATTTCCATAGCATTGAGCCAGGGCAATTCAAGTGCTGTCGGGCTGTGTTCAGTCTAGATGCATCCTAGAAAGGTTTGGTCAACTATGGTTTGAAATTGCCCTACTCTGGTAGACTGGGATGGTCAACAAAGTTGTGCTAAAGTGCATGAATGCTACAGTGTGGGTGCAGCAAGCTGAGGCATGGGCCAACTTGGGCCCTCCAGATGTTTTGGAATTCAACTCCCACCATTCCTCACAGCCTCAGGCCCTTTCCTTTTCCCCCTCAGCCGCTTAAGGGGAAAAGGAAAGGGCCTGAGGCTGTGAGGAATGGTGGGAGTTGAAGTCCAAAACATCTGGAGGGCCCAAGTTTTGTCAGTGTCAGGCTGCCTTAACCCTGGAGTGTGAGAGGCATGCTGAAATAGAGGCATGCCAGCCTTCCCAACTCTCTGGCAGCTCTCCCCCAGGTTGCACAAAGAGAGGCGCCCAAAGTCCACCCGGGACCCCGCTGCTTGGTCTCCAGTAGCCGTTCCCTTTCCTCCTCTTTCCTTTCCCCAATGTGTCCCCCCCTTTCTTACCCTCCAGGCACAAGCCTCGCCCGCCGTGCCTTTCCTGCCGGTGCCTCCTGCAGAGACGGAAAGCCTCGGTCCGTGGAAACAGACGGTGAGCGAGAAGAAGAAGAAGAGGAAGGAGCAGATCCGGAGCCCAAGCGCCATCGCTCCTCCAGACCCACAGCCCGGAGTCCGCCGACGGCAGCAGCAGCAGCAGCGACAGACTGGCTACAGGTTGGACGCGGCAGGAGCCAGGAGAAGGAAGCACGCATGCGCGGGACGGAGTCCTCCCAGGCATCGGTCCTTCCCTCGCGCGCCCCCTCCCACTTTGCCAAGGATGCCAGGGTGGAGGGATTTGAGGAGGGGGCTGCACAAAACCCTATGGATCCTATGGATGTAGGAGTCATCCTCTCCCCCTTTTCTAAGGCTGGGCTCTTTTAATTCCAAACTTTCTGAGATGCAGACAAACTATGTTGGACTCTCAGGAGTGCATCTACACTCCTTCTGCACTGTGCTTAATATAATATAATATAATATAATATAATATAATATAATATAATATAATATAATATAATATAATATATTGTATATACATATAATATTGATAATATTATAATGTAATACAATATACTACTACTAATAATAATATATTATTATTATTATATATTTTATAAATGTAATATTACTAATAATATTACAGTATAATGTTATAGTACAATGTAATCTATAATATTAATATTGTGCTATGGTAATAATATAATATATTACAAGTATTTTTTACTTGTAAGCTGCTCTGAGTCCCCTTCGGTTTTTTTTTTTTTGGTTTTTTTGTCGTGTCAGGAGCGACTTGAGAAACTGCAAGTCACTTTTGGTGTGAGAGAATTGGCCGTCTGCAAGGACATTGCCCAGGGGATGCCCAGATGATTTGATGTTTTTATCATCCTTGTGGGAGGCTTCTCTCATGCTCCCGCATGAGGAGCTGGAGCTGATAGAGGGAGTCAGTCTTCAGTCCTGCCGGCACAAGGGTTTAACCCACTGGGCCACTGAGGGCTCCCCCCTTCGGGGTGAGAAGGGCGGCATATAAATGTTGTAAATAAATAAATAAATACAGTGTAGTGTAGTTTGAAGCCACTTCAACTGCCCTGGCTCAGTGCTGTGGAATTATGGTCACTGTAGCTTTCTCTGCTAGAGGGTGCATCTATACTATAGATCAGGCTTGGGCAAACTTCAGCCCTCCAGGTGTTTTGGACTTCCAACTCCCACAATTGGGAGGGATAGCCAATACTCCAGAAGGCAGGAGCAGAATTCAAAATGATCTTAGAAGATTAGACAGATGGGCTAAAACTTAACAAAATGAAGTTTAACAGTGACAAATGCAAGACAGAAAAAAATAAAATGCAAAGAAACAGAATGGGGGACGCCAGCTTGAGAACACCTGGAATCACACACTGGGTCCAATTCTGGGCACCGCAATTGAAGGGAGATATTGACAAACTGGAATGTGTCCAGAGGAGGGCAACTAAAGTGATCAAAGGTCTGGAGATCAAGCTCTATGAGGAGCAACTTAAAGAGCTGGGCATATTTAGCCTGCAGAAGAGAAGGCTGAAAGGAAACATGATGGCCATGTATAAATATGTAAGAGGAAGTCATAGGGAGGAGGGAGCAAGCTTGTGTTCTGCTGCCCTGGTCACTAGGACGTGGAACAATTGCTTCAAACTACAAGAAAGGAGATTCCGCCTAAACATTAGGAAGAACACATATTTAAGACATGTACGTGCAAAAGTTTGTATGTAATGCATCCAAGGCATAGCACATCAGGGAGGCCATCAAAGCCATTAAAGCAAAACAAATATTATGCAAGACCCCTTTCCTCTGCAAAATCAATCTCCAAAGGTCTGACAGAACAAGAAGGTCAGGACATAGTACTGTCAGCCCTTCACGTTTACAGGTTTGATTATTCATGGATTGGCTTAAAATGTCTCTAGGAATTACGAGGTCCTTCAGTGGCAACTGTGTGCACAGTTTCCAACAGAAGTTGACTGTAGAGTCATACTAGAGAAACTAGAGATTCCTAGAGGTATGTTCTCTTAGGATAATAATAATAATAATAATAATAATAATAATAATAATAATAATGTTTTTATTCTGAGTTTTCCACTTTCACAGGGATCCTATACCCCTAACTCTAGCAAATGTGAGGGCTGATGGTAACACACAGCATAATTCACTCCTATGGTTCCCATGTCCATTTCTAGCTGGAGGAGCCCGAGGTACAAGCAGAACGTTCTAGATCTCTCATTTATTTTTCTCATAAGAAAGATGAGAGACCCAACTGCCATGACCAACAGGCATCAAAACAAATTTCACCTGGAGATGCTCCAGAAATAGATAACTTATGATTCTGCAACAGGTATTCTGCTGTATCCCTGCAAGCTTTTGAGCTGGATTGAAATCCAGGGAAATTTATGCTGAAACAAATCAGTTACTCTTAATCTGTTATCAAATACTTCCTTCCTTTCCCTTTGTTATGCTGAAGCAGACTAACATAGATATCCCTTTGAAAATACCTTTACTTGGCCTCTTTTAAATGTGTGATCCATAAATTAGTGGTGGAATACTTTTATTGGGCCATAATTTTTAACAAGGTGATCTTTTGAGATGAGAATGGGAGAGGGTGTCAGAAAATTCAGAAACCATCCTGGCCAAATGGGATAGCCATGGGAATCTGTAATTGCTTTGCATTACAAGATGAAGACTGCAGACTTCCAAGAATTGGCTTGAGGTGTGAGTTTGAGGTGTCATCAGGGATGGAAAATAAATTGCTTGTCTCTAATTGTATAGACAATTAGAGCCCCACCCCCACCCCGTGGTGCAGTGGGTTAAACCACTAAGCTGCTGAACTTGCTGACGAAAAGGTCACCGGTTAAAATCTGAGGAGCAGGGTGAGCTCCTGCTATTAACCCCAGCTTCTGCCAACCTAGCAGTTCGAAAACATGAAACTGTGAGTAGATCCCCCAGGAAGGTAATGGCTTCCCATGCAGTCATGCTGGCCACATGACCTTGGAGGTGTCTACAGACAACACCGGGTTAGAAATGGAGATGAGCACCAATCCCCAGAGTCGGACACGACTGGATTTATTGTCAAGGGAAAACCTTTACCTAATCTTAATTGTATAGACAAGTTTTGCAGGAATGCACTCCAAGAAGTATCCCTTATCTTTTAGATAAAGCACATAACGGCCCTGTGTTGGTTTGGGGAACGGAAGCGCCATCCTTCTTAAGTAGCACAGTCCAAGTTGCAGTGTCAAGCCATTTCAACATTTAGGGCGAATGACACAATTTGCATGATTGGCCTGGTTCTGTCCAACGTCTTTATCAATGATTCGGATAATGAAATGGAAGCCATGCTTATAAAACGTGCAGATGACACAGAATTAAAAGGGATAGCTAATTCTCCAGAGGAAATAATCTAAATAAGTTTCCTGATAGTAAGAGCAGTTTGACAGTGGAAAATGCTGTCTGGAATGGTGGTGGAGTTTCCTTCTCTAGAAGTTTTTAAACAGGCTGGATGTTGTGGGTGCTTTGTATATTCGTACATGGCAGAATGGGATTAGATAGGATGGTCCTGGTGGTCTCATCAAGCTCCATGATTCTGTGATCTTTCTTGATCCTCTCACTCTCAGTCCCATTCCCACAACTGTCTAGATATGCTTTATTCCAGAGGCCTCAAAACCACTCATCTGAATAATTATTTTATTTATTTACTATATTTATATCTCGCTTTTCTGTACCTCGGAGGGGACAAAAGGCGGCTTACAGATAGGAAATAATTCAGTGCCTTAACAACAATGTACAATTAAAATAAACATTTGACATAAAAATTAAGATCAAGATTGAAATACATTAAACATTTTAAAAACATTACAATCACTATAAAACCATGCTATATGCAATCATAATCCAGGTCATTCAGACCGTCATTGCACATAATTACAGTCCATCTATTGCACTATGGTTCTTCTCTGAAGGCTTGATCACAGAGCCATGTTTTCACTCTCTTTCTGAAGGTCAGGAAGGAAAGGGCTGATCTAACATTGCTGGGGCCACCGCTGAGGAGGCCCTGTCTCTCGTTCCCACCAACTGCGCCTTTGAAGGAGGCAGGACCGGGAGCTGGCCTCCCCGGGATAGTTCATAGGGGGAGATCCATTTGAACAGGTAAGCTCGGCCATAACCGTTTAGGTCAGTGTTTCTCAGCCTGGGAGTCAGGACCCCTGAGTGGGTTGTGAGGGGGTGTGAGAGGGTTCACCAAAGACAATTAGAAAACAGTATTTTCTGTTGGTCATGGGAGTTCCGTGTGGGAAGTTTGGCCCAATTCTCTCATTGGTGGAGTTCAGAATGCTCTTTGATTATAGGTGAACTATAAATCCCAGAAACTACAACTCCCAAATTTCAAGATCTATCTTCCCCAAACTCCACCAGCGTCCACATTTGGGCATACTGAGTATTCGTGCCAAGTTTGGTCCAGATGCATCAGTACTCTCTGGATGTAGGTGAACTACAACTCCAAAACCCAAGGTCAATGCCCACCAAACCCTTCTAGTATTTTCTGTTGGTCATGGGAGTTCTGCGTGCTAAGTTCAGTTCAATTCCATCATTGGTGGAGTTCAGAATGCTCTTTGATATTGTAGGTGAACTGTAAATCCCAACAACTACAACTCCCAAATGACAAAATCAATCCTCCCCGAAGCCCACCAATATTCAAATCTGGGCGTATCGAGTATTTGTGCCAAATGAATGAAAATACATCCTGCATATCGGATATTTACAAGATGATTCATAACAGGAGCAAAATTACAGTTGTGAAGTAGCAATGAAAATAATGTTATGGTTGCGGATCACCACAACATAAGGAACTGTATTAGGAAGGTTGAGAAACACTGGTTTAGGTTTCTACAGGCTAAAGCCATCACTTTGAATTGTGTTCAGCAGCAGACTGGCAGCCAGTGGAGCTGACATAACAGGGAAAGTGGATTTATAGCAGGCATGGGCAAACTTTGGCCCTCCAGGTGTTTTGGACTTCAAGTCCCACAATTCCAAATTGTGGGACTTGAAGTCCAAAACACCTGGAGGGCCAAAGTTTGCCCATGCCTGGTTTATAACCATGAAAGCTAATGAACAAATATACATTCATAAGTCCAAAGGTGCTGCCACATTATTTTTCTCTCCTGCATCGTTCTTGCTTTTTATAGTGATAGAAAGAGGTCTTG